TACTCTAGGCCTGAAAGAAATCGCGCCAGCGGGCCGGTTTGCCTGAATTGTATGCAGTTGGGCCAGTTCATCCTCCAGTTTCTTGGACTCACGTCGCAGATAATCCAGCTCTTGCTTCACCCGGCGGATGCGCTTCTTCTTGGGTTGATGGGTCTCAACCGACATGGGCTCTTCAGTGAACGCCGATACGTTGAACGGGCTTTCAGTAGCTGAAGTGTGAGGCTAACATTATTGTTAGAGCGTCGTGCACTGTGATTGGCCAAACCTCGGAAAACGGCATAAGCAGCCGAAATTGTAATCATCGCTACTATTGTGGCATTCATTCTTTTTGGCAAAACGGAGGGTCCGAGATGGGAAATAGAGGGTCCGAGATCATGTCTGACTCAAAAATAGAAATATATCTTACCTGAAATAAATGTAGGGATGGGGTTATTTTCTATAAAAGGTCTCTTTTAGATGCCACTGTCCGTTTTGCCGACATTCACCGGCAAAAGTGAGCGGCTGGCTACTAGCTCTCAAGTCACCACTTGTCAAATATCTCTTGCAGCCACAAAGCCATGACCTACTCTGATGACTTTAGCTGGAGGGGGCCGTCGTTTTGGTTCACGTCTATGGAGTGTCTATTGAACACGCTGCATCGCTCATTGGGCCCAAAGAGCGAACAATTCGTCGGTGGTATGCTCTCTTTCTAAAGCGAGGGACGGTCAACGAGCACAGTGAGCGAGAGCGGAAAGTGCGAAGGACAGCAAACGTGCTAGCCTCTGTTATCAAATATGTACAAGAACATCCAACTTTCTACATTGAGGAGCTCCGTGAACATATTATCGAGCAATTCACGACACTTCCAAATGTATCGTCATCCACGTTGTGTCGCTGCTCAAATTTCGATCTCAATTTCAGCCGCAAAGTGTTGGAAAAGGCTGCTCGTGAAGCCATTCCTGCTAAAAATTCAAGTTTACCGACAAAAATTGCTGCCACTCTACTCTAATCCCGGACAACTAGTTTTTCTCGACGAGACGGCTAAGGACGGACGTCATGCTTTTCGACGGTACGGATGGTCGAAAAGAAATACACGAGCAGTTGTCACGTTGCCATTCCGACGTGGCAAACGTCTATCGGTGCTGGCGGTACTCGACGTTCACGGGTTCTTTGGATGGGAATGGACGGAAGGAACTTTTACTCGTGAAAAATTGCAGGAAGCCTTTCTTCGTCAAGTTATTCCAAAGCTCAATCCTTGGCCATTCCCCCCGCTCTATTGTTGTAATGGACAATGCTAAAATTCATTGCTACCCAGAGCTATAAGCGGCAATTCACCAGACTGGAGCTCGACTAATATTTTTACCACCATACTGCCCGCAGTTAAATCCGATAAAACTGTGCTTTGGTCTCCTCAAGAGATGGTTGCAAAAGAATGCCAATTTGGTTTTTCCTCTGTATCCAGATCTTGTTCTGGATGTCGCAATGTGTGCCTGTACGCGTCGAGTTGACCGTGGCTGTTTTGGCTCTTTCCAACACTGCGAATATCAAGATAGTCAGCTTAGAAATGAGATCTTTGATGGTCTTATGCGTATTAGTGAGCACTGAGACTGAATACATTTTCTTTTCAATACAAACCCTCGTTATCCTTACTACATCTCTTCGTCTTCTAAGTAATCCACATCCTGCATTGTAGGGTTAGTTGGAGGTGGTGCGTTGAACTCGTGAAAGATGCCTTGGGTGAACATGTCGTGGTCGGGCAACCCAATCGCCCGTCTCAACGAAATTATGTCAACTTCGACCGGCATCCAGAGTCGATTAAGCTTTATCTTCACGACACCGGTTTGACGAGCTGCTTCTGCCTCGCTATCGGCTCGACGAATATCCGCACGCTGTTGATCTAAAGCCATTGCCTCCGCTGTCGTATTATGTGCGGGAACCTCGAAAGTAGCCGTATCTGGGCGTCTTTGATGCACGATGTCAAGATGATGAGCTGTAATGGCACCAAAACCCACTGCATTATCAGCTTCGTACGCCATTCTTTGAACTCTAGCGTTTTGTACACGCTGTGTAAATGCAAAGTGAAATTGTTCCGGAGGTCATGGTCCTTTAACATACAAAAATACCTCGAACCGAAAATAGCTAAATCCGTGTTAGTCAATTGCTTCCAACGATGTTGTAGCGTCCCAACAATTTTTTTTTGCGGAGAGTCGAATATATTTGTCCTGTGAATCATTGCGGGCTCTATTTAGGTAGATGTCAGTATCTTCCGAAAGGTGAACAGGTCGTTTGCGTGCGTCTGGGCTAGCCAAAACCTCTGTGAACTTTGCAAGGCATTTCTGTCGAAACACGGCATAGCCCTCTCTAATGTCGAAATCAATTTCCTTGCGCCAGCCTCCACGAGCCCTTCCATGAGCCTGACCAACTCGAACCACTAGTGTTGCCACAGCGCGCTCAGGCAGTACCCGCAAACCATCAGCGGCATCACGGATAGATTCTACTGACCACGGCGTAGTCGCAGTAACGCCTCAACGGCGTCAACGGTTTCTTCAGACGAGCGTTGGTTGGCTTCTTGGATATTATTCATGCTTCACGACAGTAGGGGGGAGATGAGAAAGCTGCCAAACGTATAATGAGTACGCTAGCACAGGCAAAAAGAACAATGGTAGAGAGTTCAGATTAGTTTAGCAAAATATATAGGCCACAGCAGACCAACCTTATTACCACCTGGCAACACTTCTTCCGTAATTATTGCAGGCACACCAACTCCAGCCTGTACCTCTACATCTCTCCACCGACGCCTTGCTCAACTCGTACTTCTTGTTAGCTTTCACGGTCGCGTCACCTGCCGATTCGGATTCCTCCGCGACCTATGACTGCATGTGGAAAGCCAAGGCAAACTCGATCTCCTTAATTCCCTCCGTCTTCTCCTAAGAGGCGACGACGAAGCGGCCACTTCACTGCTTAAGGCTCAGCATCGAGTCCACCGCCAGCTCTCCGTCGTCTCACAGAGTGGTCGCTCTCCTTCTTAGCTCTCTCCGTCGTCTCCGTCCACCACATCTAACTCCATCGGCCTCGGTCGACCCCACCCTCCTTCACCTTGATCAAGTTCACGTTGTTCATTTCGGCCGAGTCCATCATCTTCTTGTCGCACTCGCGTACTTCTCCCCTCTGTCGAGGCTGCGGAGCGTGGAACCCGCTTAGCTTTCTCGATCAAGCTCGCCGTCAGCCAGCAGTCCACAGCCAGCACGATCTTCCCTACACTCTCTGTCTCTTGGTCGAGTTTACTGGTAGCACGGGCTTCCTCAGGGTCTCCTCTTCTCCATACCCGTCTCCACTGCAAGCGTCGTTAGCACCTGCTTTCTTTCGAGGTCACTCCACTTTGTTTTATAATAGTTGAGGGTGAGGCCAAACCAGGGAGAAAAATCCAAAATAAAAAGTATGGCTCGACTCAAAGCCCGAAATATAAATCAGACTGGTGTGGTGGAGTGGGATTCGCAAATCACGTTGCGATCCACTCGAACACACAGTGCCCTGGACTGCCGACTGACGGAGGG